ATTCCTATTACTTTACGACGCCCCGGTGTACAAGGGGGACGTCCACGATGCCGTCCAAACGGGCCAAACGGGGTTCTAATGCACCCAAGGCCCCATGGGGCCCCCGGGGGAAGCTTCTGCGGGGTGGCCCTCAAAACATGGGATCTTACTCAACCGGTATGGGCTATGCTCATTTTTGTCTACGCCCTCGACCCGCCGATACTAATTTTGTATGATAGAGTTCTCTATGAAAGACGAGGCAAAACATACGGTGTCACATCAGGCTTCTTGGGGTACGGGTGATGCCAAACTTCGGCAACGGCCAATCACCTTTGTTAGTGCCGGCGTCGTCGAACCTCTAAAGGAAGAAAGCGTTTCGACCGATGCCGCCGATCCTAGTATAACGAAAGCTTCTTCCCATGATGCCACGAAAATGGACCCAGCCGATGACGAGGCCAGCCATGCCGTAGACATCGATGCAGTGGCGACTAAGATCGAAATTGGGACCGAGATCACGGTCGAACGCACTGCCGAAGCAACGGCCGAGAGTATTATTGGAGCTACCGGCCAGGATGCTATTGTTGTCAGGGAATCTACCCAGCATTGCCATGTTGGCATCTCGGAGCGCACGCCAGGACCCGTGGGGGCTGAAGGGGAAGACTTTTTTGTTTTCGACCTCGCAGAGAACGACGACAACCCTGTGCCGGGCTCCTTTATCCCCCCTCCTAGAATACCAAGCCCGAAACCGTCGCTTGCGGAGTCTGATTCTAGCGAAGAGGTCATTTTGTTTAAAGGACGGACGGCGGGCGACCGTAGCGCGACTCCAGTTAATAAGCCCTTTCGGGATCGGATTGTGGATGCAGCGAGTCCCCGTGGATCAAGCGAGCCGAAAGCCGAGGTCACTACGGGCGCTCCTCGTTGGCGAGGTTCCCAAAGGGGAGGGGCTTCGGGGCCATGCCCCGTTACCCGCACTCAGAGGCAACCTCGTTCCCGCCGCAATTCAAAAAAGAATCGGAAGCCCCACTCATATGAAGAGGAAGATGACGATGGCACCGACAACGATGCCATTCTTGCAGACTACATCGCCAATATGGCCGCCGACTCTGATGATGACATACTGGCAAGCCCCTTCGCCTCTCTTGGCGGTCACCGGGACCTTGGCGATGACGATGGCGCGGTCGATTTCGGGGATACAAACACAAAATCACCGCTTGACGACGACTTGTCTGGTGGAGAGCAGGGACTCACGGCTTCCGGCACTAGCGAAGACGAGATGGACAACAATGAGGATCTCGAGCTTGACGATGAAGCTCTCGCCCACCTCCTTGCCAAACAGGAGGACCTCGGCATGGGAAGCGATGAATTGATGCTATTTTCGGGCGCTTTCACAAGTGCGAGACAGCTGAGAGGTACACAGTCATCCAGCAAACGCCCTGGTTGGGGACTTCATCAACTCGCCAGCGCCACCCAGGTTGCGGATGCTTTAGATAACTTGGACATCGCCGACTGGAACCAGCTGCCTGGACAGCGGAGCGGGCGAAAGAACAAGCAGCCACCTAACTTCAATGTGTCAGACTCAGATATTGAAGCCGCGCTGAACAGTGCCTGGAACCGAGATCGGGAGCGAAAGAAACATCGCAGGATGGAACGAGAAGCCCTCCGCGCCGAGGGTATGCTTGGTACAAAGGCTGATCCTAGTGACCTACGTGTAAAGTATCCGTCAGGCATGAGGTTGGACGATATGAAAGCCGAGCTCGTCCTCTTTCTCGTAGGCTCTGCAGATCGGTAGGCTGCCCCTGCAGTCCTTCGTACGCTCAACACCCCAGAATGAAAGCTAACCACCAACAACCATGAACAGGCTCGACTTCCCTCCCCTGGACAAGCACGCGCGCAAGGTTCTCCACGAGGTGGCAAACAAGTTCAACGTCAAGTCACAGTCTACTGGAAAAGGTGACCAACGCCGTCCCGTTCTCTACCGAACCAACCGAACAGTTCGATACACGTCCACCACCTCTGTGGACGCAACGAAGCACGTCGAGCAAGCAACAATGCGCATTCATCGCAAATATTTTCATCGCGTCGACAAGGCTCAGGGGACTGGGACCCCCCGAGGTAGCATGATGGGCAACGCTGGAAATCGAGCGGCGACTGGACATAAAGCACTAACATTACGTGAGGGAGAGATTGTGGGAGCATCGGTTCCGGAACTTAGCCAAGAAAACAAGGGGCGTACTATGCTAGAGAAAATGGGCTGGAGCAAGGGCATGTCCCTCGGCGCGCTCGACAATCAGGGCATCCTCGAACCTGTCACCCAGGTCATAAAGCGATCCAAGGCTGGTCTGGGCTAACAGAGTTCAAAACACTCCTGCCAACTACCTGTCGAATAATATCACCGCTAGCACGCATGATAACTAGGTTCACTATGATCCCACGGACCGCCAAATGTGACGCAAACTCGCAGGTTATAGTAATCTGCCGTCGCTGACCACACTTCATAATTGCAGAGATAACGGAATCGAAAGAGCAGTACTAATATGCACGATTTCATTTCGCCCGAAACCCTGATGTTAAGGGTATTGTATTGTACAACCGCAAACCCCGTTTCCCATGAAAAACATTGCCCCCGAAAAGCAGACCATCCGTAACGCGTTGCATTAAGAGACTCCAAGGGGCGTGCGAACCTCGGCCAGCCTCGTCATGACTCCCAAATGCCAAGCAAACCATATGCCCTAGAGTAAAACGAGAAAAGCAAACACCCATCCAGCCCATTTATTTAGTGCTGGAGGAATACTTGGTGACGGCCTTGGTGCCTTCCGAAACCGCGTGCTTGGCCAGCTCACCCGGAAGGATCAGGCGGACTGACGTCTGGATCTCACGCGATGAAATGGTCGACTTCTTGTTGTAGGCGGCAAGCTTGGAGGCCTCAGTGGCGACGCGCTCGAAAATGTCTAACGAAAAAGTTAGATAATGGCAAACTCATTCGGGTACGATCAAATGCTTACCATTGACAAAGGAGTTGAGAATGGACATGGCGCGGTTCGAAATACCGGTGTCGGGGTGGACCTGCTTCAGGACTGTGCAACTATTAGCAACCTATCGCGTCACAGACTGCGCGTCACTACGTGACGGAGATTGGCAACCCACCCTTGTAAATGTAAGAAGAGTAAGTCTCCTTGCGAGCCTTGGTCCGCTTCTTCTTGTCGCCCGAAGGCGCGGTCTTTTTGCCAGCATCCTTCTTCTCGGGCGCCTTAGAGGCGGTGGCAGGGGCCTTGGAGGCAGGCTTCTTGTCCGCAGCTTTGGGGGCCATTTTTGAGATCTGAAAATGAATTGGAAATGTCGTTTAGTTGATGCGACAAAAGCCTGGTGGAAGAATGAATTCAGCGTGTTCTGGTCGTGGATGCAGGTGTGCAAGAGTTGGGTGATGGAGGAAGAATGTGGTCGGCGAGGGGGACCGGGCTTTTTGTAGCTGAACGCGACTGGCAGCAGTGGCATTGCTGATTTGGGGGCCCGCGCAAAAGTGGGTACCTTCCTGTTGGCGACGTGATTTGGCGAAAAATACACCCCAGTTTTGACAAGGTGACGCGATGGCCCAAGCGTCATAACACATTGAGGCTGGTTTTCTCATCTAGCTAGTTACTGGAGCCACTGGACCCTCGTCGACCCAGCCTTCCGAACCCCAAAATCAACCGCCGAGCAATCTAGTGTAACATGGAACCCGGAACCTACCTTTGGTGGAGATACCTTAGGAAATTTGAAAGTCGACAGTTCCGCAAGTCTGATTCAACTTAACCCCCGCCTCAGCCACACTTTTGTGATGTCCCGCAGCCACCGATTCCTTCCCTCGATTGAGTTCTGTTATCACTGGAAAGTGTACCTGTCATGATGGAGTGAGTGGTGGTTGGAGATTGGAGTAAGACAGCTAGGGGAATCTGCGGTCTCTCCTGCCGCTGAGGGAGTGACTTCCACTCTTATCCCTCGATGCCTAGACATAGCCGGCGGTTCGGGCCACGCCCGCAATAAGTTGCACAAGGCACGTATTACATAATAGACGTGGTGGTCTGGTATCGAAGGCTTGCCGAGACAGAAGAAAGCCCCCAGACACCAAGATGTATGGACGTCATGGGTCTCGCCATCCCCACGCGATTCCTCCTCGCTTGATTGGGCCCGAGTTGCCCAACCTGCCTCCACCGGGCTCCCAAAATCTGGGGAGACGCTTCAAGGCGTCCGGCTCTCCGCCTGCGTTGAATGCCATGACGAGTCCCGAAGCCGCGGGAAGAGCCGCATGGGAAGACACTGCATGAGAGAGACCCGCATGATGAAGTCGCAGGGGCGAAGACCCAACCTGGCCCGACGAAGCGAAGTTGAATCAGTGAGATGGGGATCCGGGGGTTGGACGGCGTGTAGCATCAAAGTACCGTTTACGAATACATATTCCGAAGTTCTGTGTGTAATTTTCCGTCATCATATGAAGACCCCACCATGTTCTGAGCCAAGTATATTCGAACGTTTCTTTAACATCTCCCTTCAATGTGTCCAAAACTGGACCCCGTAACCGGTCAGCGAGTAGAGAACAGTCAACAGAACCTTCCGTCCTCCTCTCCCAATATCTGGTCAAGTGTGCACGTATCAATTGCAAGAAAAAGTGGGTGGGCGCGGTCATCCAAGGTAACTTCACTTGAGCACTCCCAAACCAATAAACCACCGGCCAACACCCAAATCTGGGAACACCTGATCTGTGACAAGTGAATCGAGGCCAAAAGGCAGACGAGAGTAAAAAATGTAAGGAGATCCACGTTGTGTCGAAAGGTTGGCGGCTTTTGGAAATCGGCAAAGCAACGGGTTAGATGGGTTTGTTGATCTGCGTTGTAGTGCAGCTCTGGGTTCCTTCGTTGCTGCTCCAAATCGCGCGGGAGCGTGACCTTTTTTGGGGAGTAGGGACATATTTTCTGCCTCAAGCAAGCGTGACCCTTTTTTGTCGCGTCGCGAGGGGTGCGCTGAATTTAAAGCTCCGCAGAAATCCAGAGTACCGCAAAAAGCCAATCAAGACGTCCCGCAACACCCACCCTGTATTTTTCGGCTGGTGCGCAATCGCACCCCATGCACGTATCCGTTTTGGGACTAGCTCCAACAGTTCCAATCAACAACCTGAGAAAGGCGCGAGTGATCCGTGATCTTGCCTTTTGACGCGAAAAGTACTTAACTCGCACATCCCCCGTTACAACCCGACCTTTTGCAACTCCCCATCAACCAACTTCTCAGCCTCTCATCAATTACTGCAACTTCGTCGAGTTTATTCTCGCCTTATCAACACGAAACTTTTTTCGACATCCCCCATAAAACAACATCAAAATGACTGGCGGCGGCAAGTCCGGTGGCAAGGCGAGCGGTTCCAAGAACGCGCAATCGTAAGTTTGTTCTTTTTAGCGACGCGATCTTGACGTTCGGCTTGAACTTTGCGCGTCCCCAAACATACCCAGTGTCATTCGACTAACGCGTCCCGATAGCCGTTCTTCGAAGGCTGGTCTCGCGTTCCCTGTCGGCCGTGTTCACCGTCTTCTCCGCAAGGGTAACTACGCCCAGCGTGTCGGCGCGGGTGCCCCAGTTTACCTGGCCGCTGTTCTCGAATATCTCGCGGCCGAAATTCTTGAGTTGGCTGGCAACGCCGCCCGCGACAACAAGAAGACCCGTATCATTCCTCGCCATCTCCAGCTCGCCATCAGGAACGATGAGGAGTTGAATAAGCTCCTGGGTCACGTCACCATCGCCCAGGGTGGTGTGCTTCCCAACATTCACCAGAGTATGTTTTGCCCTTATGATCTTTGTCAACTCTTTCTAACCGTTTTTCAGACCTTCTGCCGAAGAAGACGGGCAAGACTGGCAAGAACTTGTCTCAGGAGCTTTGAGTTTTTCTTCGTGGTTGGGTTCTTTCGCTGTTTATTCTGGTCGGCACGCTGGGTTCATGATATTGGGGTCACGGTCTCGGGTCATCGGTTGCTTTTACGCGTGTTTGGGTTGTACATTAATTCCATGATGGGCATGGTCATGAAATGAGAATATCCCTTGAACAAATTTGTTCTTGTATTCGTCTTCCGCCCGAGTGCGGTGCCAGGCTCGATCACATTTCTTGCATTATAATTTTATTTGCGCGCATGCGGGTGTACGCACATACATAAGCACCATCTTGGGTATGCGTATAGTTGAGCCATGCGTGTCGTAAATGTTCGACCGGTTGTTTCTTTCTAATCGACAAATTTCAAGTCATCTGCTGTGCGACTCCGTATGCCAGCCAGAATTGGCCAGACACCCAAACTTCAGAACTTGAGTCGTGGCGGGGCTGTAGACGCGAAAGTCAGCAACCTCTGCGAACGAGTGCAACAACCAAGGTTCAACTTACGATCCTGATGCGGCGTTGGAAGGTTCCTTTCATACTTGGACCCTACAAGCAGTATCGTTAGCCCCTAACCCCAACCCCCCGTGCTTAAATTCAAGTCCGACGTACCACCAGGTGCAGTCGGATGAATGTATGGGTCTGGGTGTTTCCAGTGCTCCAGCAGTTTCTCCGTCTCCTTCAACAAGGCCTATCCCCAAAAACTTTTGTCAGCCCTTATCCAGTTCTGTATTCTCCGGACCCGGCAGGAGGAAACTCAATATCCCGTACCCGCTGTAATCTTGGATCGCTAACGTCCTTGTTCTTCTCAAAAAGCGAGCGGATGTAGATCGCCTGCCCGCGCCAGAGATGGCGCTGGACCGTCCAGTCCAGGGCAAGCTTCAGAGCTCGGCGGTAAAGAGAGCTGCAACAAGAATTAGCGGGGGATCGATGCTCAATTGTCGGGTCATATTAGGCAACGGACAGCGCGGCCTGTCTTGACGACATGGTGGAGGTTGCGGAAGCGCCGCCCGCCACCAGTCTGGTCTCGGAAGTTGGCGTCCTCTTCGAATTGCTCTAGCCGTCAATACCGAGTCCTGTATGGCGAACTTCCAGGTCGGTCAGAATGCGAGGTGGTGTCGGTGGTGTTGCTCTTCTCAGCGTCGCGATTTTCCAAATCCTCGGGCTTTGCCAAGCTCGATTGACTTGGTGGATTGGAGCTCCAATCCGTCTGCTGGCTCGCGAGAGTGGGAGAGCTCCCTCTGGCGGGACGGGACCAAGGACGGTGCCGGATTATTTCTTGCTCCGATCTCTGCGCAGCGCTGGCCCGGCCTCGGTGGATCCTGAAGCAGAAACTCTTCCAGTGTGGTTCCACTTTTCGGTGGTGAGTGCATTGAGCAGCGCCGGTTGGCAAGCTCGGCAAGGGATCAAGTTCCCGACGCCCAAGCCGCTGCAGGTTGAGGTCACCAGACCAACCCGGAGGCGTCGAGTCTTTTGCGACAACGTCGGCAGCTCCCTGCAACCCTAACACAGCGATTTGGATGGAGACTGGGTTCCCGCCAACCAGCTAACATCGTGATTTTTTCCTTCCCCTAGATCTTCTAAACGGCGCATTTACATCTAACGGTTGCCCTGGCGCTTTTCTCCGTCGTTTGTCCCCAGCCCAATTGCACCTTGGTTATTCCCCGTTGTCCCCATCCGAGTCCTTTTTTCGCCTCTTGTTTGCTGCTTGACGGGTCCTCCATCACAACAGATACCTGTTGCAGATAGGAAAACCGAAGCCGACCCATTCCGCATCAACACTGAATTCCCGCACCCTTCCCATTCAACACCAAGGATTATCGCAGTCACGCCCACTATGCTATACCGAGGCCTCCGCCTTGCGGCTCGCACCGCTCCCAAATTCGCGGTTTGCAACACGAGCTCAGCGCTGCGGCAACTTCCCCTCCAGATCCAACATGTCCGGACCTACGCCGACAAGATCGTCAAGGTCCCAACAATGGCCGAATCGATTAGCGAAGGCACCCTGAAACAATGGAACAAGTCGATCGGCGATTTTGTTGAACAAGATGAGGAGATTGCGACGATTGAGACTGACAAGGTATGTACACCTTGTTACATAATTTAACGGCGCTTGAACTTACGCTGGATGGCTTGTCAGATCGATGTCGCCGTGAACGCCCCGGAAGCCGGCGTCATCAAGGAATTTCTAGCCAACGAAGAGGACACGGTGACGGTTGGTCAGGACCTTGTGCGTATTGAGCTAGGCGGCCAGCCGTCGGGCGATCGGCCCTCCGCGACGGAGTCAAAGGATGAGAAGGGGGCGCCGAAGGAAACACCGAAGGAGCCAGAACCAACGCCCGAGGAGGCTAAAAGCCCGGAACCCAAGCCCCAGGAAACCAGCCAGGCAGCACCACCTGCACCCTCAAAACAAGAGGCCGGCGTACCGAAGCAGCGGGCACCCGAGCCGGCCAAGGAGGTCGAGCCGCCGGCAACCTTGGGCAATCGGGAGGAGAGGAGGGTACGGAGGCTTTTTGACTGCCATTTTCCACGTCGTAGGCGTCATGCTAACCCACTACACAGGTCAAGATGAACCGGATGCGTCTCCGCATCGCCGAACGTTTGAAGCAGTCTCAGAACACCGCAGCATCTCTAACCACATTCAACGAGGTTGACATGTCGGCGCTCATGGAATTTCGCAGCAAGTACAAGGATGAGATCTTGAAAAAGACAGGTGTAAAGCTGGGCTTCATGAGCGCCTTCTCTCGTGCCTCCGTGCTTGCCATGAGGGACATTCCAGCGGTCAACGCGTCTATCGAAGGCCCCAACGGCGGTGACACCATTGTTTACAGGGATTATGTTGACATCAGCGTTGCCGTCGCAACCGAAAAGGGGCTCGTCACCCCGGTTGTGCGCAATGTGGAGGCCCAGGATATGGTGGGTATTGAGAAGTCCATCGCTGACATGGGCAAGAAGGTAGGCGATTCCCCCAGTGCCATCTTTGCCGCAGTGCTGACCTAAATCTGGCGTAGGCTCGCGACGGCAAACTCACTATCGAGGACATGGCTGGTGGTACCTTCACCATCAGCAATGGCGGCGTTTTTGGGTCGTTAATGGGCACCCCCATCATCAACCTACCGCAGACTGCAGTCCTTGGTCTCCATGCCATCAAGGACCGCCCCATCGCCGTCAACGGCAAGGTGGAGGTCCGTCCCATGATGTACCTTGCTCTCACCTACGACCACCGTCTCCTGGATGGCAGGGAGGCTGTGCAGTTCCTCGTTAAAGTGAAGGAGTACATTGAGGATCCCCGCAAAATGCTGTTGTAGGTCTCTCAGTCTGGTGTTCCGAGCTATATATCCGTAGTTCCGTGGTAGTTCAGTGGATGTGGGGAAACGAGGTATGGGCGGTCTGACCGCCGGATGTATAACAAGAACAGATTACAGGAGTTTTTCCCAGAGCACTCCCTGACTACATTATAGAAACACTGTCAATTCTGTATCACAGGTGTATGTATCATTGTTACAGGAACTATAGTACACTGTTTGTTGTTTGTGGAGATGTATTATAGTGGTGGTAGATATACTAGGTTTTAGATAAAGTATTGATGTCTCGAGATTACGGATATAGACAAAATGGGTTCTTGAATTTCATAGTATATATATCTTCATAAATGTTTAGAGTAAATAAACCAACTATTATTTAACAATATTTATATATCTATATATTAATTTCATTTGGAATATTACTTAGAATTATTATAAATGATACAATGTATTTATAATACTATTAGAATCGAGATAAAAAGATCATGCTATATTTTGTAAATTTCAAGTCTAAATCTAAGTTATAGTAGAGATCTAATATTGTAGTACTTTAAGCTGGAGTTAGTGTAATAAGATAAGCTGACATTATACAATATTTAAGTCAAAATTTAAATTTATAGGAGCTGGGACAAAAGAGTTATAGAATTAGAATAGGGTTAAAAGACCTGATTTAAAAAGAGAGGTTAAAGCCTACGTTAATCTATAAATATAAGGTACTAGCCTGATACCAACTATAGAGAGGTATATAATATTCTATTAATCTAACTCGAGGAAGAGAGAAGGAAGATATTTACACTCAGTAAGGAGTTCTCGGAAAGGAGGGTAGTATATATTATATAACCCGGCTCTAACCCTAAGGTTCCTAGTTCAGGTTCTCTCTAAACCGTTAGAGGTTCTATTATATAATTAACCCTGATCTAGGTATTACCTTGATTAACCCTATCTAGCCCCTTAATATACTCCACTCCTTTAAAAATAGTTATATATAAGCTATATCCTGTATTTTATCTACTCCTAATATAAATATAAATTCTTTTTTACCTATTTCTGCTCTTCTTTTATATCTATAGCTATTTATCCTTTATCTATTCCTTATATGTCACAAACCGACATAGGCAACAGCCAACATATAGGACTGGCATATAGACCAATTAGGGAGGACTAATCAAGAGTTGGTATAAGGGGTGATTATAGAAGTCATAGTACAATTACTGGAATTATCAATAGTACCGAACAATAATCACAGAAGTTATAATATAATCACTACAATTATAATATAAGGTACCTTAAGATACCCTCTAGCTAAATAGCATATAGTCACTTATTCTAAGGGACTTTAAAAGTTCTCTAGTAAATAATATAACTTATTTATTATAACCTATATAATACTATAAATATTGAAACTAGAATATTATCTTATTATAAACCCTTTAGCTTCACTAAACTATAACCTTTAACCTATATCTTTTGTAAATGCTTTTAAAGTATAGTTAAGATTAATTTATTACATATTACTTAAACCGTTTATTTCTATTATAGTTTAAATAAAAGTATTTAATATTATAAGCTTTAAATCTAATATTAATATAACTTTAGAAAGTACTTAATTATTTTATTATACTTCTATTAATATAAAGGAGGTTAATAATATCCTTATAGGTCTATATATATAAATTAAGGCCTTTAAAGATAAAAATAAAACCTAATAATAGATTATTAACGAAAGTACTAATGTACCTTATAAGCGAGCCAAACACTCTACACCACTCTATAAACACTATCCTCCATTGCAGTACAACAACACTAGGAACCAACTACAATTATATCAGAAATAGCTGAACCAGAGGCTTCTATAGCCTCTTTACACATACGCGTATTATAACTAGGCTTGCCGTATACACTATAGCACTGAACCTTTATACAAGCCCCCCCTGTTATAACGGATCGGGTCTCAACCACACTCTAAAAGGGTTTACTAAGGGTATGACATAAGGGTTGTAATCCAGTAAAGCCAAGGGGTTTACAACAAGATGGTAATCTGGTCTTAATGTTCACAGCGTAATATAAGTGGCGATAAACAAGTTATATTACTTACTGAGGAAGTCCCAGACTCCTTTAACGAGTGACTAGCTAGCTATTTATATAGTTAATAACTTCTTTATCTTTATATCTCTAGATCTTATAGCTTTTACCAAGATCCCGTTAAACCTATTAGCTTTTAGCATTTCTTTATCAATCCTATTATTAGCTTTTATAGATCTTAAAGAGATCCTATTAAGCCTCTTCTGATTAGTTATTAAAATAATTAGTTAATAGTATATCCTATACCCTACCTATATATACTATAGGCCACTTTCTATAGCTTGGTTTATGATATAATACCCCTTTTTAAGCCCTTTTAACCTAAAAGGGCCTAAAGTTTAATTTAAATATTACTAATAGTCTATATTTATAAGCTTAGGTCCCCTTCCCCTCTTTTATTACCTTAATACTAATAAAATATTAAGCTATATAAAGAAAATACAACTGAGAATTCCTTATCCAAAAACTATATAATATAATATACTTCTAGAGACCCTTATCTATTTAACTGTTATAATAAAGAACGCCTACTTATATTATAAGAAATATAGTTATACTAAATATAAGGTCTTAACTAATAGTTCTAGGTATTATACTTTCTATATCTAAAATAACTAATCTAACTATAATATCTAAGGCCTATCCCTTTAATAACTTTAACGAATTATTATTTAAAATAATTCCTTAAAGGCTAAAATAGAAGAGGCTAAAGTAGAATATATTACCTTAGATATTAAGATTATATATTTATATAAGTAGAAAAGGATATAGTTTAAAAAAATAATATATACTATTTTATAGGATATTAACTTAATAAAGGAGTTAAAGTATATTAAATAGGAAGAGGTAAAAGTTAATATAATTATATAATCTATTAAGCCTTTTATTCTTACCTCTTTAAACGTTAAGGCTTTAGACCTTAAGCCCTTCCTTTCTTCTATAAATCCCTTTAACGTTTCTTTTCTTAAGTAAATATTTCTTCTATTATCCTTTAATAAATAAGATAGTTATATAATATAATAATAATATATATATATATATATATTATAGAAATCTTCAGACTTATAGTAAGTCTAAAGGATTTCTATTATATTAGATTATAGGTTTTATTACTAACTATTATTCATCCTAGTTCTTCTTTTAATAATAATAGCTTTAACCAGTCTTTTCTAGCTATATAAGGTAATTAGGGTATTAATAGTAGAAGTCCTATAACTTCTCTAGGTAATTGACTAAATTTCCTATTAACTACTATAAATTATCTTTAAATCTAAAGTCTAGCTATTTAACTAAATATTCTAGTTACCCTTTTATAATCCTCAAGTTAAATACTTCTTCTAGATTCTATTCTTCTTCCTTATCCTTTATTTTAATATCTTTATTGAATTACAAGTTTTTTAATATTAGCTCTAATAAGGCTATATAAAAAACGTTTATTCTTCGCTGTATAGTTAATAGTAATATAAAAGTATAGTTGTTTTCTAAAATCTTTTTATTAATTTTAAACAGCCTAAACTATTAATAATATATTATATATAAATAGATAGTTAAATAGAATAACTTAACTAGGTTATTAAATAATATCTTTAGCTTTATATTAATTTTTAGTAAGATAATTAAGTTAAGTTATTACCTATTATATAGTTAGCTTATAATACTATAGAAACTAAGATAGTAAAAGTTATATTATACTTTATAAACTTTAAATATAAACCTGATCTAAGATAAGGACCTAATATTAAAATATCTTAGGCTATTATTAAAGTAGATAAGATAAATTTACTATATATAATACTTAAAGAAGAACTTAAGTTTATAAGGAAATGGATAAAGAAGTTCTATAATTAGAAAAGGCTTAAAGGACCTTATCTAAAAAGGGGGGATAAAGTCTACCTTAGTTTATAAAATCTTAATACTAAATGATCTAGTCGAAACCTTAATTTTAGGAGGATTACTCTTTACTCTAAGTCTTATTATTAATATTTACTAGAATTTTAATATAAACTTAATATCCTAGTCTATAATCTATTCTTTCAGCTATATATAGATTATTATAATATATTAATAGAGTATATCTATAAGTTATTCTATAGTCTGAGTTTCCTTATGGGATAGGAAACAGATCTATTTAGTAAGTTTATCTACTATAGTAAAAGTATTATTATATTTGACTTAGGTTATAAGGTCCTTAGGTTCTAGTAATTTAATAATAAAGTCTATAATTATTAAACTGTATAATTATTTAATAATAGGTAATAGTTATAATAATCTATAAAGGTTATATTCATTAATAACCTCTTTAATCTACTTTTTAAGGTATAGAAAGTTATAGTATTATTTAATTTTAGTAGTTATTTTCCTAATTCCTATATATCCTTTAAGTTTTAACTAGTATACCTTAAATATAAGTTCTTTCTAATTTTAAGTCCTAATATAAGCTTTATTATGATACTAGAGCCTTATTTTATTTAGTTATAGGCTAAAGGTATTTACTTCTAGATCTATCTTCTAATTAGCCTATTCCCTATTAGTAATAGTTTTTTAAAATTCTTATCCTTCTCTTTCTTCCCTAAAAACTATATAGTACTCTATAAACAGTTATAGGGATATTCCTTCCTTTATCCATTATTAAATAGCTATAGTCTTATAGTCTTTAATCAATTATAAGGTACAGTAGAAAATACTATCTATTTATTATTATAATAATACTAATAAGTTTTCTAATATATTATTATTTTAATGATCAGTTCTCCTATTTAAGATATCTACTTATATATTTTCTATATCCTTTTTATAGTTGATTATAAAGTTAAATTCTAATAAGAATTCTAGCTATGTAGTTTATTATTTATTTAAGACTTTAATTGTTATAAAGTACTTAAGGTTTTTATAGTTAATATAAACCTATATTAGATAGGTTA